GTTTAGTTAAAAACGTCTAATGATGGATTTGTTTCCTACAAACACACAGTTTTTGTCTTCTCCAGATGTTAACTGATGGACTGGAGTGCTGTGGATTATTGTGATGTTTTTATCAGCTGTTTGGACTCTCATTCTGATGGCACCCATTCACTGCTGAGCAAGTGATGCAATGCTACATTTCTCCAAATCTGATGAAGAAACAAACTCATCCACATCTGGGATGGCATGAAGGTGAGCACAATAAGCAAATTTTCATTTTTGGGTGAATTATTTCTTTAAGTATGTACAATGAACATTGGCAAAGTGTGCTAAATTTGCATATTTGCATGAAATTAACGGTCTTTCGCAACAAGACTAGTTATTAAATGAGATGATGTAAAGTTTCTAAACTGTTGCTTGGCTATGAACCCATGGTGTTTTTCCAGTGCGAGTGTGTCGGACCGTGTTTCCATGCATCTGTCCGTCGTGTCAAATGACCGCGTGGAGGACGCATGGCTCGCTGTAACTCGGCCCGGCTGCAGGGGTATCGTCTCGATTGTCCTTTCCCCCACCTTGAGGCCCTGGAGGGGTGAACCCGGGACGATATTTTAAGATGGACGACTTGTATTTTTAGGCCCTAGAGTTCACATTTCAGGTTAGCTATAAAAAACAAACAAAAAGCCTAGTTGCTGTAGGAGGACAGCTGGAGCGGACAAACACAGAAACTCACGCGGTCCATCAAAATGACCCCCTGCTCTTAGATTAGAGGTTATTTTTAGGTCCGGCAGGGCTCTCGTGTCTGTATGTGACAGGACTGAAGTGTAATTAAATCAGTGCACCATCTGTGTGAGTGATAAACAAAACAGGCCTCGGCTTATTTTAATAGAAGGTGATAAAACCCGCTGCGTACAGATGCATGAAACCCTTTGTGACCGGAGCAAAACTAGTTTAAAACACAAAAGTGCTGTGTCAGTATATGCTGTGCTTCAATCACAGTCAGATATGGGATATGTGAGATATAGGGTCTGTTGTCTGAGACTCGTAGGTGATGTACAGGGAAATGAGATGCAATGCAAATTTCTAGTATTTGTTTTACAGGTGTGCATTATCAGCAGAGATCATTTACCGTTTTACAAACCTGTCTCTGTAAATGTTTGCTGAACTAGTTTTCTTATCATGTTATGTGTGAACTTTGACTCGTTGATGCATTTTATTGCGTTACAAACTGCATGAAATCATAAACGAAGCTGATGCGTGCCATACATTTGACCGGATATCCTGTTTACCAGGGTTATAACAGTTAACTAAAACCATTTAAAAAGGCACTTAAATTAGCTAGATGATGCCATGGCAACATTTCTCATTTTCATTTAACTAAACCTGAAATAAAATAAAATTTTATTAAAAATAATTTAAAAAATTTAACTTATTCTTATTTCAGCTATGGCAACATTTCTCATTTTCATTTACTTTAACTTCATATACTAAAATAACTGAAATGGAAATAAAATAAACATTAACCTAAAAATTTAAATTAATAAAAAAAATTCAATTCAATTAAAAAAAATCTTAAACTTATTTTATTTCAGTTAGTTGCCATTGCAACATTTCCCATTTTCCAGTTAACTTAATGTACTAAAATAACTAAAACTGAAATAATAATGAAAACTATAAAAATGCCTAAAAACTAAATTACCTAAATACTAAAAATTAAAAATAATAAACATAAAAATAAAATACTAATTAAAACTACAATAATATATCAGTGATATTAAAATAACACTGCTGTTTATTCAAACATACATCAGTTTAAGTAAAATGAGTTGTAAATGTCATTTCATGGTGACTTGAAAAGTGAAGGTTTATGCATTTCTCTGCATTATGTATAAGCATGCATATCGATGAATAGTTATATTTTTTCCAAAATGGAATTCTAATGCACTTTACCAAAGAAAACAAACAAACAAAAAAGTCAAAACATAATTTGTTATGTTGCTAATGTTTTGAATATCTGCTTTATCTGACAAATGTTACTTCTTAACAAAACATGAACAAAAATGTAAACTTTTTCAATGCATGAAATAAAGAAATAAATGCATTCAAAGCAATGCAAGTCATTTTGGAAGAATGCATCTGCAAAATGCATAAATGTAAATTTAATTACTGATATCTTTTAAAGGAATATGTTAGTTATATTATCTGTCCATGTAAATTAACTGCATAGCATATTGGTTATAAGAAATGCACATTTTAAATAAATAAAGTTTTGCTTTATGCAAGGCATGTCAGTGTCAAAAGGCCACAGAACAATACGGCTGAATTGAGAAGTGGTGCATTGTATTTCAGTAGGGAAGAGGCTTGTGCAACACGAGGACGAGGAGAGAGTGAGAGCGTGATTGCATCATCAGAGGCTCGTCTCCTGCTCGGGGAGGCGCTCTGCCCTCGGGCATGTAAGCAGGAAATGTGAACAGGCTCATGATGAATGTGAGGAGAGAGAGGGAGAAAAAGATGCAAGCGCCTTTCATCGTTTCAGTATTTCCTGAGGCGAGCTTGGGGGGGAAGAAACAAGAACAGAGGGAAGAGAGAGAGAGAGGGGAGACTTGGGTAAATGCAGTTAAACTGGTGATGTTTTCCAAGGCTTTCATTCCAGTCCTGCTCAGAAGACACAGCCTCGGGCGCGTGCCAAAATATTCATGCACACTTCATCCTGAAACCAAGACTTCAAAGCTCTGGAGCAGAACGTGAGGAGTGAAGCGCTCAGCAAAAACAATCACGTCCTGCGTGCTTCAGCGCTATCACACTGATAAATAAAATACAACGTTACTTTGGGCTAAAAGGTGAAAAATTGGCTTATTTTGTTGGATTTTTTAAAACGGTTTCTAGTGTCGTGGAATAAACAGTCATTTCAATTGCTAGCTGTTATATATTTTTAAAGCATTTAATATCAGATGACAACAATATTTGAACTGGATAATGACACTAACTTTGCAACATCAACACTGTTATTGAACTGAATCCACATTGAACTGAATTGAGCTGAATAAAGACACTATTGTATGGAAGCCAATTTCCAGCATGGAATTTTTCTAAAAAATAACGTCAGAAATGCGAAATATAACGCAAGAATTACAAGATATAAAGACAAATATGCTAATTTGTTTGCAGACATTTTGTTTAGCTAGTTTAGTTTTTTTTAGTTCACTAAACAAAGTTTAAACTGAATTTTGCAGTTGTAATGATGTAATGTACAGATGTTTGTCAACTGGAGGTTTAAAGGGATAGTTCTCCCAAAAAAGAAAATTTGCTGTTAATTTACTGACCCTCCAAGATGTAGGCGACTTTTAATTTCTTCATTCCTGTATATTAAGTTTGTATGAAAAATGTTATAAATGGAGATTGTTATTAAATAAAGGCTATTATGTGTTGTAATGTGTGTATTTTTAGTGAATGATAAACACCAGTTAATCATTTTTAATAATTTTGTTAAACTATAAAAAATATATGAAATGCAACAACTAGTTCCCCAGCAATTTCTTATGATGCCCAAAATAATAAATCTTAGTTGAGGTAACATATGAAGCACATGGAGTAAATGGTTACATTTTTATTGACATAACTTGCTGTAGTTTTCTAAAAGTTTGACCAATTAAAACATTTTAGATGAATGGACTATAAAACTAGTTCAGTAAAGGTTGAGCCAACTAAAAAATAACAATTCAGGCAACACTTTGAAGTCAGAAATTGACTGAACGTAACATTTTTGTGGAACTAGTTACTAAATAACAATTAGTTGAAACAGCTTGAAATTTTTTACAGTGTGGTGGAAACAAAAAAACTGAAATGTGCGATGTAAATTCAGAATGTATTTTACTGACCCTCAGGCCATCCGAGATGTAGGTGACTTTTTTCTTCATTCCTGTATGTTTAGTCTGTATGAAAAATGTTATAAATGGAGATTGTTATTAAATAAAGGCTATTATGTGTTGTAATGTGTGTATTTTTAGTGAATGATAAACACCAGTTAATCATTTTTAATAATTTTGTTAAACTATAAAAAATATATGAAATGCAACAACTAGTTCCCCAGCAATTTCTTATGATGCCCAAAATAATAAATCTTAGTTGAGGTAACATATGAAGCACATGGAGTAAATGGTTACATTTTTATTGACATAACTTGCTGTAGTTTTCTAAAAGTTTGACCAATTAAAACATTTTAGATGAATGGACTATAAAACTAGTTCAGTAAAGGTTGAGCCAACTAAAAAATAACAATTCAGGCAACACTTTGAAGTCAGAAATTGACTGAACGTAACATTTTTGTGGAACTAGTTACTAAATAACAATTAGTTGAAACAGCTTGAAATTTTTTACAGTGTGGTGGAAACAAAAAAACTGAAATGTGCGATGTAAATTCAGAATTCAGAGAAAAGGTAAAAGTTTTGAGTTTACATCTTGCGATTCTGAGTTGCGAATTTATATCTGATTTTCCCAAAATTGCGAGAAAATGTTTAAAGTGTTAGTTCACCCAAAAAATGAAAATTAGCCCATAAATTACTCACCCTCAAGGCATCCTAGGTGTATATGACTTTCTTCTTTCAGACGAATCCAGTCGGAGTTATATTAAAAATGGTCTTTGATCTTTCAAGGTGTTGCATGCATCAGTCCAAAAGAAGTGAAATAAAAAGCGCCCATCCATTTTATCTCTCGTTGTCAGATAAAAAAGCTGCAGTTATTTACTGTCTTCTGTAGAGCTGCTTTACAGCTGAAATTGGTTTCTTAATTAATGAATTTTGCAACATTAACATTATTACTTTCGTGTTTATTACTGTAAAGCTGCTTTGAAAATATCTGTATTGTATAAAGAGCTTGATAAATAAAGACTGACTTAAAGACATGCTTCCAATAATAAACCATTTTTGGAAAAATTTCCAAAATTTCACAGTCATGACTCCGGGAAACGCGTTGCGATAAAGCGTCCCACACGTGTGCACGCGTCCCGTGAGGCCTGCGACTCACCACGGGAAAGTGGCAGAGCATGAAGCAACACTAAAACACACTGATTATGCAGCTTTGGACCCCGATGACAAGAGAAAACAAGGTTTCTTCCTGATGATGACTATTCATGGATGCTTAATTATTGGATGGTGATATAATTTAAGGGGAGTTCAAAGGGTTTAATTGGTATTCTCGGATGCAGCTCGACATGATCAATGCCTGTCTCTTTTCAAAGGCTTTAATCAGATCCATTGCAGGAGGAGGCAGCGTGCGGAGCATCAATCCCAGGCCATCTGCAGCCCGCGCGCGCCGTGCCAAGAGTCTCCCGTGGATGTGCCTGGCTGGCCATCGCGGATGGCAGAGACACACAGGATCTGAAGAGAGCCGATGAGCAGGTGCGGATTAGTACTCGTCTCCTGCCTGGAAATGCAACACTAGGAGGCTTTTGTTCACCTCAAAACGTTTCGCCCAGACGCCGCTGCTATCTCAGACAGGACGTCATCCTTGTGTGTATGCATGTATGTGTATGCAGTATGCACGCACAGTACAAATGCATGCGGTGCAGTGTTTTTGCTTTAGTATTTGCGCAAATCAAATATACCAAGTATTAAAGTGTGCAGTTGCTGCGTTTGGTGCCAAAACCCAAGCAACTGAAGCAGAACACTTACAAAATACTAGCAACATTCCCTAACAACCAGGGCTGTCAAATAAAAATTTGAATTTCGAATATTCGTCGAATTTAAAATAAAAACTGCAAAAACGTTGCATTCGAATTTTAGGTGTGCGTCAGACAGCCTTCAGTGGCGCACGAAATGTGATGATGTAAGTGTTGCTTTTTATTGTTTTTGTTAGCTAGTTGAACCTACTAGATGCGGCGCTGCTGTGTTGTTCGTTCAAAATATTGCAGAAAAAGATAACAATGCGGAGAAGATCTTGTTTATGTCAAAACTGAAACCAAGCCGTTCACACAGAACGCATATTTTGCGCATTTTCTAGTGGGACATCTATCACTGTTACACTCGCATCTCGCACAAGAGAGCGGCATGTTTAGAAAGCCCATCCCACTGCATTGCATGTTTTTAAATGAAAAAGTACTCTGTGTGATTGACTTTCGTCTCTTTGTATTAAACTATGCATACATGATGCTGTTTTGTTTATAATTGTTTAAGCAACTTAATTTATTATATTTGGCTTATAAACATTATGCACTTTTTCATAGATGGTCAGGCTATTTTGTTGCTTTAATAAACATGCATTTGTAATATTTTGCTCGATGCGCCCTCTTGTGGCCTCAGGAGAGAAGCCAAAAGCTGTTTTCCCCCCTAACTGAAATTATGCATTTTAAATTCGAATTTAATTCGAATATTGATAATATTTAAATGCAAAATTCGAATTTAATTTTTCAGCCATTTTGACAGCCCTACTAACAACATATTGAAATTAACAAAATGTAAATAATGAGCAATTACATCATAAATCCATCTTCCAAACTGTGTTTTGTTTCACCCTAAATCCCTATGGTAAGCCTATAATAATGACTCATATTTTAGAGTTGTCTGGACGGATTTCCCGGGAAACTGCATAGGCCTACTTCCGCCATTTGTCCGTGCTAGTTTTGTCATAATCGTAAGTAAAGGACAGAAGGTCAGACTACAGTGGAATAGCTTGAAGACAAAACAACTGAAACTCAACCCGAAAGGATTTGAATGTGACAAGCCCGTAAAAAAACACGAATAAACATAGTTTCATAGAATCACATTTGCTGTGCTTTTACCAAGTTGACAAAACAATGTTTATGTTGGTAACTATGCTAATCTCTAAACCACTTACTGCTTTAGTCTGTTTGCCTATAAATACACTTGTCAAGTTATAATTTCCCTTATGAAAATTAACCATGGTTTTATTATAGTAATAGTGTAGTAACCGTGGTTTTTTGCCGTATTGATTACCATTTGTATAACCACAGTTTTACTACAAATAGCATGGTTAAACTATGGTTAGTGTAGCAACACCATGGTTAATTTGTGGTTACCATGATTTAACTATAGTAACCATGGTTTTTTTGGTAGTAAAACCATGGTTAATTTTCGTAATTCCACCGTTATCTGATATGAAGCAACAGTTACGTCTAACGTCAGCGTTGCCAAACTTTTGTAGCATTATTTTAAAACAACTGACTTCAATAAGACAAACCAATTGAGTAATATTTAAGCTCTTACCTGTTCATAAGACATATTTTCAGATATCCATATTTCCTTCGTTTCAGTTAAGATATCGTTACTGCAATTCCCGCTGATAAAAGATCATTTGTATTTTGTAATCACGATCAGCGAGGCGCCTCAAAACATCAGATTCGTCCGCGCCGAAGCACAACTCACGTGACGAGCTAAACAATCTTCCTCCGCGAGTTAATTGTTTTGTATTTTAACTGCTAGAGGAATAAAAGTTACGTAGTGGAGTTTTAATGCGACGCATTTCCAAGTTAAACAGCATGTTCAGTGTGTGAAAAAAATCGTCATGATGAGTTGATTGGATGGTGAAAGTGCTGTTGTTGATAAATAAGCGGGACTGATGAAGTCAGCTGAAATTAAAATAGTCCTTATTGCATTATGAAGAAAGGCTATCAAGACTTTTTTTTATTTAGAATATTAATGTAATATTATTAAAATATTCTTAAAAATACATTTATAAAAAAGAAAAATGTATTATAAGATTAACAAAATATTAACACCAATGAATACTAATTAAATAATAAACATGTTTTATCTTTAAAATAAAATTGTAATATTAAGAAAAAATTAATACTAATAAATACTTGCAAAATAAAAAACATATTTAAAATAATGTTGTAATAATAATAAAATATTAATACTAATAAATATGAATAAAATAATCATATATTTTATTTTTTAAAATAACACTATTGTTCAATTTCCATGGAATGCATGAATGGTAAAATGTATAACTTGAATGGATTTTCAGTCTCTTTGAATAAAAGTGTCTGCCAAATGCATAAATGTAAATGTAAATATGTACTGATGAATCATTCACAAAAAGACCAGAAACCAGAATTGAGTAAATAGTCAGTGAGTGTTGATTTCTGTTGTGTATTAAAGCAGCCGTGTTATGAGCTCTCATTCCTCTGGTGTTGTTTCTGTGAGTGTAAGTGTGTAAGTGTGATGCAGCAGCAGCTACCCCTACTGAACACACAGAAACCTCGTCTCACACTTACAGTTTTATTCTTGCAATTCAACATGTCACACACACATTCACTCTCTCTCTCTCTCTCTCACACACACACATTCACACACACACACACACTCTCTCTCTCACACACACACACACTCACACACACACACTCACACACACACACTCACACACACACACTCACACACACACACTCACACACACACACTCACACACACACACTCACACACACACACTCACACACACACACTCACACACACACACTCACACACACACACTCACACACACACACTCACACACACACACTCACACACACACACTCACACACACACACTCACACACACACACTCACACACACACACTCACACACACACACTCACACACACACACTCACACACACACACTCACACACACACACACAAAAACAGTTTCTGACACATTCAGTGGTTTTCACACCTTCTCAACCGTTCTCAACTTCACAGCTGACAGTGTTGGAGAACCCGAGCAGAAACGGGGAGCAGGTGTCGAGCTCCCGTTTCCATTATCCAGGTGCCGGACGCCGTGATTGGACCGCAGGATTTCTGAGAGAGAAATGCAGTTCACTGACCGTGAAAACCGTTGAGGGCCAAGAGCCGGGCCACAGAGGCTTTATGGAGACCTCAGGCCAAAAACAACACGCCAGCACACAAAAAAACAAGAGCTCTGGCTCTCTGTGCTTCTGGATTTGGCTCCAAACCCCACCCTGGAATGATGAAAAAGCTCTTGGACGTGGCCTACATCGCACCGTTCCAGGTTCCACTACGTGTTCCTCCTTGAAAACACATCGGATGACATCAGGCAGCTCTGGGTTTGTGGAAAATACAGCCTCTGCTGCCATAAAGGCTTTTGGTGGGACGTTCCTCGGCAGCAGCTCATCTCGTGGTGTATTTTATTCCAGCCGTAATAGCAGATTTTTTCAGTTGCCTCCGTCTCCTGGCGGGACTCCCGCGCTGCGCTGCACTTGCCAGACTTTGCAATAAACAGCTGCAGCTTTGGGTAAAAATAATTACACTTCTGTCTGAGAAGAGGAGGGTGCAGCGTCTGCAGACCTCGGCCTCCACTCAAACCACAAGCACCGTATTACTGCCAACTGATGAGTTTCTGCTCGAGAATCGGTTTGCATCTCTAGGAGAATTTTTATTTTGTGTTGAAAGGATGGAAAAAATTAAGTTAATTAAAGTCAGTCTTCATTTACCTAGTGCTCTTTACCGTGCAATGAATGTGATGGAGATGTTTAGCATAAAATGTTTCAATGCAATAAAAGTGCAAGGTGATTAATACAACCAAACTCCAAAAAAAAAAAAAATTAGTCTTATGTCATTTACCTTGTAATGAACGTAATGGAGATAAATAAATATGATAAATAATATAAATAAATAAATATTTGCATATATATATATATATATATATGTGTGTGTCTGTGTGTGTGCATATATAAATGTTTAGCTTCCATACAATAAAAATTAAAAGTGATTTATACAACCAAGCTCCAAAAAAGCATCAAATGCATCATAAAAAGGGTTTATGCAATTAACTTTCATATCATAAAAATATAATTCAAATATAAAAATATATCAATTTTGAAGATGAACCTTGCCTGCTATGCATTTACAGGAGAATATTTTGTGTTAAAAGGAAACGAAAAAAAATAAGTTAATACAAATTCAGTCTTTTATTCAATGCTCTTTTCCTTCAAATTAAAGTAATGGAGATAAATAAATATAACATTTGCATAGTTTCGAGATGTTTAGCATACAATTAATGTTTCCATACAGGTAATTTATACAACCGAGCTCCAAAAAAAGCATAAAAATGCATCATAAAAGGTAAATAATATATAAAAAATTTATAGATTATTTAACTTTACCTATTGTTAAATAATATATAAAAATATTACTATTATCTATATCAATTTTGAGGATAAAACTTGACCGGTCTGCATCTCTAGGGGAATATTTTATGTTAAAAGGATAGGAAAAATTAAGTAAATATAATTTTGTCTTCATTTACATAATGCTCTTTAGCATGCCTCATAAGAAATGGAGATAAATTATATACATATATTTTAAATGTATACACACACACATATTTACTATTATATGCATATTAAAAAATATATATATATTTAAAAAAAAAAAAAGACTAAAAATCCCTCTAAACTCCATAACATAAGTCCATATGCCTCTATGCACTATATTTCAAGGCCGCTGAAGCCATTTGATTCAGTTTAGCTCACCATTCACTTTACACTTTTCTACACTCACTCAAATGTTGCGTGTTGTGATTTTGTACCAGGACTGAGATCAGTGACATCAAAAGTGCTTCTCACAGGTCTTGCTATTGACATTGCAGCATTTTTGAATGCATGCAAATGTGAAGGAAATTTCACTAGAATGGAAGGTATCCAATGTTTTGAGCACACAATGGCTTGAAATACAGTGCATGAGTTGTTGAAACGCACTGTGTTTGAATGCATGCAAATGTGAATGTGAATTCAATATTTTGGGGTATTTTGGACACATTATATGATTTAAAACATGAGATTGATATATATTTTTACTTTATGATTTTTACTTTTACTTTTACTTTTAGTCATTTAGCAGACGCTTTTATCCAAAGCGACTTACAAATAAGAAAAAGTAATTAAAACTAAAAGCTAAAACTCTATAAATACTATATATATATACACATTTAAGAAAATAAAAGAAATTAAATAAAAATGACTAACCCATACAACAACATTTCAAAACTAAACATTTAAATGAAAACAAAAAAAACTATTCAAAATATTACAAAATATTTTATTAAAAATTAAAATAATTATTTATTATTATTTTATAAAATTGTATTGCATTTTTATTTTGTATAATAAATTGTATTTTTACTTCATGACATAAAATTGTATAGACATTTTTTAATGATGCATTTTATGCTTTTTGGAGTTTGACAGTATACATCATTCACTTGTATTGTATGGAAGCATTTATTGCATGCTAAACATCACAAAAAGTATGCAAAAATTAAGAATTTAATTTCAAATCCACAGTAGAAACTATCACATGGTTGAAACATAGTGCATGAGGTATATGCTTTTTTGAGCTTGACTCAAACTTGTTATTTTTAGTATCATTTCGATACTAGTTGTAGTAATTTTATTGTCTGTTTTTGTCATTTTTATTAGTTATTGCTTTTTTAAAACACGTTTATATCGTTTTTATTATATTTATTTCAGTAAAATTAAACTTAAATGTATCTAAATTAGCAACTAGCTGAAATAATTCTTTTATATTTTATTTTATTTCCATTAACATTTATTTTATTTTATTTCAAGCAACAATTTTTTTTTATGGTTTTGGTTTTTGTTGAGATTGAGAGTATAATCATACAGGCTTGGAACAACATGAGGGTGAGTGAATGATGACAGAAAGGTCATTTCTGGGTGAACTATCCCTTTAAATACGACTTTAGCTATGGACACAATCTCTAGAGAGCATGTCAGAAGATGAGAAAGCTGAAGATAATTACATCAGCCTATTAGAAACCCCTCACTGATTCAGGAACCACTATAAACTCCTTGACTCAGACTCATAACAAGTCATAATGGATCTCCGGCTCTCCTGCAGTCAACACACACAGACTCCAGAAACACAAAACCCACAGAAGATGTGGAGATCAAAGGAGAACACTGTGATCTGATCAGTGATCACCTCAAACTCAGTCTGAGGAACCGCCAGAGCTTTTAAAGCAGCAGCAGCTGTGAGCGGGCATTCTGATTGGTGGAAGATGAGGAGTGGGCGGAGCCTACAGCAATCAGCCAATGAGAGAGTGATCAGGCCTCAGCTGCATGACACATCTTCAGCATTCCTGAGAAATCAAAACACAAATGAGTCTCTAGTGTCATATAACATGAGTATAGAGCTATAACATCTATGTAGATAGCAGCGCAACTGTTTTCAACACTGATAATAATCATAAATGTTTCTTAAGCAGCAAATCAGCATATTAGAATGATTTCTGAAGATCATGTGACACTGAAGACTGGAGTAATGATGCTGAAAATACAGCTTTGATCACAGAAATAAATTACATTTTACAATATATTCACATAGACAACAGCTATTTTAAATTTTAAAATTATTTAACATTTTACTGTATTTTTAGATCAAATAAATGCAGCCTTGCTGAGCAGAAGGAACTTCTTTCAACATTTTTACTCAGTACTCACAGTTTAACTTACTGTAAGTATATCAGTGATAACCGATTGTAATGCCATTATATATACAGAGTTGATGAATGATTATCATATTCATGTACCATATTTTCGCACGATACTTCAAAGTACAAAAAAATTTAAAATACATTTGAATAAAAATCACCCTAAACCTGCATAACATTAGTCCATATGCCTCTATTAGCAATAGAAACAATAAAAGTGTGCACGCTATAAAAAATAAAGGCATAAAAGCATTAAAAATGCATCATAAAAGAGGTTTATACAACTAATATTAGATCATAAAATATTCAAAAATAAATCATTCTTGAGGAAGAAACTTGACTGGTTTGTATCTCTATTAATTTAATTAAATTAAATTAATAAATGTAAATACAGCTGTTGTTTTTTAAAAAGTAAATTACATTTTGTCTTCATTAATTTAATGCTCTTTACCATGCAGTGAAAGTAATTAAGATCAATATATTTGAGATGTTTAGTAAACAATTAATGTTTCCATACAATAAAGGTGTATTACAGTATACGACCAAGCTCCAAAAAAGGAAATAAATAAACAATATATATACTAATTTAAATAAAAGCTAAATAATTTATGTAGTTATATTGTGTTATATAAAATAAAAAATGTATAAAAGAAAGGGCTAATCATTTATATGGACATATCTGGGAGTTGTTAATACAAAATAACAAATGTTTTATTATTATTATTTTTTTTATATTATAGGCCTATGTATTTTAAGGAAGTCCTTTTTTAGATGCTTTTAAATATTGAAATACATTTTTCAAATCATGTTTAAATGTCACAGGACTTGGAGCAACTTCAACAAATGTGCGTATGTATAAATACAACTTACAGATTATCAAAATATTACACAAAAATTCAGCCTCTTTGTTTTGCATCAAATAACATTGAACTGATATTATTCATCTGTGGATCTTTACTGCCACCTGCTGTAGAAACAGAAAACATTATTGTTCTAAAGGACGTGTTTTTTTTTTAAATCGTTTTATTTTCCACATAAAGATATAATATTCTTACCTTGTTTGATCATCTTTCTAGCTCGAGTGAAGAGTTTATCTGTTGGTGTTATTGTGTATTTCTGATCAGGCGGAAGCAGCGGCAGCTCAGCTGTCACAGGTTCTGACGTCACCGGGGTCTTTCCTCGTGTGGCTCTCCGTGAGGGTCATGCAGTCAGTGTGATCGCTGTTATTATTATTAATATTTCTCGGCTCTGATATCGTGTCGTGTTGTTCTGATCTCTCTCGTCATGATGGGCGGCAGCAGCAGCAGCAGCAGGATCGCGGCTGGTTTGGGCGCGGCGCTGTTCGTCGGTTACTGCATTTATTTCGACAAAAAGAGACGGAGTGACCCGAACTACAAGAACAAACTACGAGAACGTGAGAGCATCTATCTATCTATCTATCTATCTATCTATCTATTTATCTATCATCTGTCTGAATATCTATCTGTCTGTCTGTCGGAATATCTATCTGTCTGTCTGTCTGAATATCTGTCTGTCTGTCTGAATATCTGTCTGTCTGTCTGAATATCTGTCTGTCTGTCTG